ATAAAAGGTGGGTGGGAGGGGCAATGCCAAGAAACATTTAATAGATCAAAAAAAGGTAAAGTACTCTGTTTAAAAACAAAATCTATAAATTTTGCTTTATAGAACAATGAAATGGAAAATAATAATGCTCTGATTGGGAAGCTAAGTTGGCTTAGAGATTGGAGGCATAGAAAAATGTGTTTTACATGCACTGCAGGGTTTTCCTAGTCTTTGGGTTCAGTTATTTTGTATTTTGAAGCAGCAAAGTGATGAGTGTGCAAGGCACGATTATTTCCATTTGGTAGGTAGGCAACTCAAGTTGTACATTTTAATTATGTTTTTAGATAGCGAGATTTTTGCAATAGGTTGCTTGTGCTCGCCAGAGAGACAGAGACAGAGAAAAAGGAAGCAAGAAATTATCCCCAGGGGGGATGACCATGCCACAATTCCTTGTCTTCCATTCTCCTTTCAGGATTTCGAGTAAGCAGCCCACTGAGATTTTAAAAACACATGAGAGGACAACAGCAGTTAGCGTAATGGCTATGTCACTGGACTCCCACGTAGTCGACCACGGTTCGTGTCCCGGACCTGGTGGCTTAAAAATCATGCTGGGCGCGTGTGCATGCGAGCCCAAGATCCCAAGAGGAGAATGGAGGAGAAGGGATTGTGGCATGACCAACCCCTCTGGGGGGTGATTTCTCACTTTCTGTCTCTATGTCTCTCTCTGTCTGGCGAGTGCACGTGCCCTATAGTAAAAATAAAATAAAATAAAATAAAAAAACTCTCAAAAAAAAAAAACAAAACCACATGAGAGAGTATGTTTGAAAACAGAAAAATTATCTGCACATGGAAAGGTTTATTTTCATATAGATAGGCAATCCGAACACTCATCTCAGTGCTCAGTGTTCTGAGCACTGTCTGTGTGTGTATGTGTGTTTGTGCATGTGTGCTTGCAGCAAGATGTAAATGTAAGTGCTCTGGAGCTAGACTCAGACGCCCCAGATCTTTGACCAAATTCTGTTCACAACTAGTCATGCGACCTTATGGAGACACTCTTCTTTTGGAAAGAGAGATGAGCATCTTGGCATTGAGAGCTTAGGGATCATCATCAGGCTCAGAACAGATAATACTTGTAAAACTGAATCTGAATGCAAGACCTTAGCAGTGCAGGCAAGGCCTTGAATGCCACACAAAAAATAAGCCAGAATAGAGATAGGAATGTAGCAAAGACTTTATTGGGAAAGAATAAGGTAAGCGTCTTCAAAGCTGGGAAGATAATGTAAAGTAATCATGAAAGGAAGTAAGACTCATGAGCACAGTATAAAAATACGATTAGCAGGAAATAGTAAACATGGAAGAAAACTGTCATGAGAATTCGTGTTTTAGATTACTTGGAGGGAACTTGACAATCCTTTTTCACGGCTGAGACAAGGATGGTAGGTTAAGGAGATTGGAAGAAGGCCTGCATCTGTCACAGAAATCAACAGCAAACACAGACAGAGGAAATCGGGGTGAAGTCTACTGTATTTCAGCAACTCAATTCATAAAGGACTTTTTGTCAAAAAACCAATAGAAAGATAGCAATAGCATGCTAGATGTTTATGAAGGCTGGTGATGGAGGTTGTGGCAGGATCTGGAGAACTGGCAGGCTGATTGTCAGGTGGCTGGCTGTGCCCGATGATTCTATAGTGCGGGGATCAGCAGCTGCAAGGTTGGCAGCAGCTGGATCCGCAGCTCTGGGCTAGGCAACCAGGCAGACAGACGCATGTGGGGAGGTAGCAGGTTCTACAGCAGTACACCGGTCCAGAACAGCAGGGCTGGCAGCAGCTAGATCCACAGCAGCTGGACCCACCACAGCATGACTGGCAACAGCCGCACCCACCGCAGCAGGGCTGGCAGCAGCTGGACCCACCGCAGCAGGGCTGGCAGCAGGTGGTTCTGCAGCAGGTTGTTCTGCAGCACATAGGCTGGCAGCAAGGGGAACAGCAACAGCTGGTCATGGTGTCAGATGTGGAAGGCAGTTTCCTGTTCACAGGTGAATGTCCCAGAATCTGAGAACTTCTTTTCATCTGGACCTTTTATACACTGGGCCTCCAAAGTTTGAACCAATAAGCAGGACTTTTCCTTGTTTACATTGTTTTGCATAATCACTGGGAAAATTATTAAGGAGGAAGTTATTTCCTAAATGTTATGAATCTTTTCAAATGAAGTCCTTAATGTGTTTCTTAATTGAGAATAACTCAGAGAAATTTTTTTTAGATGAAAGGAAGGTGGAAAGGAAGTTTTCGAAATATAAAAAAAGGTTTTGCAACAGGTTACGAATTATAACAAAGGACTAGTTTATTTATTTTACATAAATAAATTATACATACCTATGCATATATATGTTTGTGTGTGTGTGTGTGTGTGTGTGTGTATAAAGGAAGATGGTCACATCATCAGCCTCACTCTTGCTGTGATCATTTGGTCATGTGATATTTCCTGCTGGGTGGAGAGGGTCGGGGTAGTTGTCCCTCCTCTGTTAATTTTTTTTGGAAGCGTTGGTGAGGAGGAGCAGGATGCTGACATTTTCATGGCGATGAGTTGAATCCATGCTTGGATCCAAGTCTGTTTACCTGCAACAGCCTGATTCAAGACTAATAGGCATTTCTTTCTGTCCAACCCACTCCACTGTGTGTCCCAGTTCTATTAAAGGTATTTGAGAAGAGGACAATTGGCACAATCTGGTCCCTATGGCAGAGCAGTGCCAAAGCAGGTGGGTAGAAGGAATACACTTGATTCAGAAAGCATTGAGTAATTTACATACTAGGGTGACTGTTCATTTTGGTTTGCCCAAGATCTAGGGGTTTTCTAGGTAAGACTTTCAGTGCTTACCGGAGACAGTCGTGGGCAAACTGAGATGAAGTGATAACTCTAGTCCCAGTTCTATTAACCAGAGTAGAGAGTTTAAGCCACTGGCCGAACCCTTTCTTGTGTTATTCTTCCTTCCTTCTTTCCTTTCCTTCTTTCTCTTTCTCCTTCTCTCCATCTCTCTTTCTTCTTTCTCCCTTATTTTATCAACAGTTTATTAGTATTGCTTTCATTTTCAGAAATGTTGCATGCATAATCATATCATCTATCAATGAAGATTTTCTACTAGTATCAGAGCAGTCTTTTTATATTTTAATTTTTCTTGCCCTAATCCACTGCTAGGTCCTTCAGTACAGTATCCAGTAGAATGGTGCAGTGGCAACTCCTGCTATTCTCAGTATAGTAGAGATAGATCTCAGTATTTTACAAATATTGAAGCTTTTTTTTTTTTTTAGATTATTCTCATTAGAATAACAAGGCTTTTTCTATTCCTTGTTTACTATGATATTGTCTTGAAAATGTGCTTAAGTTTATGGAATTCTTTTTCTTAATGTATTGAGATGTTACAATTATTCAATCTTTTAAGTAAATGTGATTTAAAAATTATTTAATGCTTAAATGTTAATAACTTTGGAGAATAATTCAATGTGTTTATGATCATATGTATATGGCCCTAGATTTGGTTTGTTTACATCACATTTAGGTCATGTGATGTCATTGAATTACACAAATGGGAAGAAACCCCCATTCTAACTTTATTTCCTCCACTTTCTCTAAACAAGTAAGCTCTGAATATGGCAAGATTCCTTTCCATCCTGAGACCCAGATGGTTCTTGATGTAGCTCCCTTTTTTTGATATTTCTGAAGATGTTTTTGTGACCTATAAAACAGCACTAACAGTGCTATTACAAAGTGTGGGCCTGGGAAGCAACAGTTGTCTTTTTAGTAGAAACACTAGTATGTTCCAAGGACCCCTTTCTGTCACACACTAGGGGATAACCTCCAAGATAAAACTTGTAGCCAAATTGTAAACTTTGTTATATGCTTTGAACAAAGACAGTAAAGTCCATACTGATTTTTCTACAACAATATTATATTGCTCCTGAGAACATGAGTGAGAAATTGTCTTTAACCCTCAACTCAAAATTGTTAAGAAGGGGAGTTCATTGCACAGTATGTAAGTATCAGCTAAATTCATTGACAAGAAGCTGGAGAGAAAGCGTGACTGGTGGATCTCAAATAACAAGCTGGTTCTATCAGTCATCACCTGGTCAACAAATCCATTAACTCATAAGAGCCCATGCAAATTTCTAAAGCCTGTCCTATTCTTCTAAGTTATACAGGTAGGCTTTGTTTGGAAGAAACTGAAGGAGAAACTCTGGGAGTTATCTAAAAATACAATTAGACTTCTGTGCCATGTAATCTAATAATTGATTTTTAAATGTTATAGGCAAACTCAAAGAAATGTACACTCTAGGCCAGCAGATGGCGGAATGGTTACATCATTGGACTCCTACATAGTTGACCATGGTTCAGGTCTTGGACCCGGAGGCTTGAAATTCATACTAGGTGTGTGTGCATGTGTGGCCAAAATCCCAAGAGGAGAATGAAGGAGAAGATATTGTGGTGTGGCCACCCCCTATGAGGGGTGACTTCTCGTTTTCTGTCTTTCTGTCTCTTCCTGTCTCTTTGGCATGTGCATGCACCCTATAGCAAAAGTCTCTCTTGAAAAAAAAGAAAAGAAAGCTTACATTAACATATCATCTCTATCACAATTCGGGTTCCATGCTTGGAAGCCATAGAAGGAGAAAACAAGAGAAAATGATGTTTGCTCTTGTAAAATGTGACTTAAAAGTGATATACATAGAAGTCAGCCCTGTGGCCTGGTGGTAAAGGGAGCCAGATCTCACATGGCCCACAATGGGGTTTGAGTCTTAGCCCCAGCTTCTTAAGAAACATGTTGGATACATGTGTATGTGTACCTCCAAATCCTTAAAGGATGGAAAGGTGGAGGAGAAGGGATTATGGCATGACCATACCCCCACTGGGAGCCGGTTACTTTCTCCTGTCTGTCTCTCTCTGGCAAATACACATGTCTAACGGCAAAACAAAACAAAACAAAACAACAATAAAAACAAAAAACCCACAAAAGCACATATAGTACCAGATTTTATGAAAAGGAAACTTAAAGATAAAAACTGACTTTAAGATGAGCAGATTTTATACTACCTAGGTTGAGGATTTCATGAAAATGAATATTTCTTAAAAGTGAGTGAGGTTATTGGGACCAGCAGTTGGCCTAATGGCTATGTCGCTGGATTCCCACGTAGTCAACAGCAGTTTGAGTCCCAGACCCGGTGGCTTAAACTCACGCTGGGCGCGTGTGTGTGCGTGCCCAAGATCCTGAGAGGAGAATGGAGGAGAAGGGATTGTGGTGTGGCCATCCCCCCTGGGGGGTGATTTCTTGCTTTCTGTCTCTATGTCTCTCTCTCTCTGTCTGGCAAGCACACGCGCCCTATAGCAAAAACATCTCCAAAAAAAAAAAAGTGAGTAAGGTTATCAACCATGGAGGTTTATATTAAGGGGAGGCTCAAATATAATTGTGGGTAGTGTCTAGCTAGTCACTGAATAGAGGACAGGGACATTTTTTTCTTGAGTCTTCCAGTTTCTTAGGAAAGACCATGAAGTTTGGTCTAAGTGCATGAAATGTCACTAAATAATGGAATATTCTTCTAGTATTGGAATAATTAGAACACTGGGATATTGGGTCTATTATATTTAAAAACTAGATAAAAGATGTTGACAAGAATGTGAAGAAATTAGAACCCTTATACTCTGGTGGGGAAGAAAAATGGTATAGCCACTATGGAAAACAGGATACTACTCAAAAAAAAAAAATAGAATTACCATAAAATACAACGATATCATTTCTGGGTTTTTACCTAAAAGAATCGAAAACCTCAAAATCTTGAAGAGATGTTAGCACTCAGATATTCATGGCAGCACCATTCACAACAGCTGAGGTGTGGAAGAAACCCAAATGTTCACCGCAGATGAATGGAAGAAGAATACATGAGGACTGACTCTGTAGTGTAGTGGTGAAGCACTGTGCCTTGGGAACTGGATCCCACTGTGGTTCAAATCCTGGCCCCTGTGACTTGAAAAATATGCTGTGGGGACCAGCAGATGGCGTGATGATTATGTCGCTAGACTCCCATGTAGTCAAAAGTGGTTTGAATCCCAGACCTGGTTACTTTAACTCATGCCAGGTGCATGTGTGTGCGTGCAGAAGATCCTGAGAGGAAAATGGAGAAGTGATTGCAGTGTGGCCCATCCCTCCGGGGTGGGGGCGGTGATTTCTAGCTTTTTGTCTCTCTGTCTCTCTATGTCTTTCTGGAGAGCACATGCACCCTACAGCAAAAACCTCTCAAAACAACAACAACAATAAATATGCTGTGTACATGTTCATGCACGCTCCAAATCCTGACAGGATAAAGAAATGAAGGAAGAGGGATTATGGCATGACCATGTCCTCTTGTGGGATTCTTTCTCACTCTCTCTGGAAACTGCATATGCCATCTGGCAATAAAATAATGTAAACAATGGAATATTATTCATCTTTAAAAAGAAAGAAATTCTGCCATTTGTGATAATTGAGATGAACCTTGCGGACATTATGCTAAGTGAAATTTGCCAGTCACAAAAGGATAAATACTACATGATTACACTTACATATATGAGATCTCCAAAATAAGTCAAACTCCATGTAAGCAAAAAATAGAACATGGTTTCCAGAGGCTGGAGGTGGAAGGAAATAGGGATTTATTAATCAGTGGGTATTAATTTCCAGTTATGAAAGATGAATAAGTTCTAGAGATCTGTTGTCCAACATGTCCATACTTCATGTAGTACAATGGAATGTACAGTATGCTTAAACATCTATTAAGTGAGTAGATTTCATATCAAGTGTTCTTATCTCCCCCTTCTTCCCCACACACAAAGAAAGACAATATGGGATGAATAATGGAACAGAATTTATTAAGGCCACCTGCCTGTAGGGAGACAACTCATACAAATCATGAAAATAGAAAGTAGAGAGCAAATTTTCTACACTTAAAAAGAAAACATGATAATAAAGAATGTAGATCGGTTGCAGAAACCTACTGGATTTTTATGAAAAAGCTGGAACATGATCCCCAACACATAAGGAAGCATGCGAGTGCATACTCTGCACCCCATCAAGCTGATTCATAAGCTTAAAAAAAAAAGATGAGAAACAGATTTTTTTTGGTGGTAACATGATGGTTTTCACTTCTTACTGGAAATAAAAATATCCAGGCACGGCAAGTCAGTTGGCAGCATGTTGGTTTGTGGTTCTTTGGAGAATTTAACAGCAGCAGCCAGGCTGGCCACAGCTGGATCCGCAGCCCTGGGCTAGGCAACCAGGTAGACAGACACAGGTGGGGAGGTAGCAGGTTCTACAGCAGTACACGGGTCCCGAGCAGCGGGGCTGGCAGCAGCTGGACCCACAGCAGCTTTACCCACAGCCACTGGACCCACAGCAGCTGGGCTGGCAGCAGCAGGATCCACAATAGCTGGGCTGACAGCAGCCACACCCACCGCAGCAGGGCTGGCAGCAGCTGGATCCACCGCAGCAGGGCTGGCAGCAGGTGGTTCTGCAGCAGGTGGTTCTGCAGCACGTAGGCTGGCAGCAAGGGGAACAGCAGCAGCTGGACATGGTGTCAGATGAGGAGGGTAGGTTCCTGTTCACAGGTCAGTTTCCCAGATTCTGAGAACTCCTTCCCATCTGGGTCTTTTATACACCGAGTTGCCAAAGTTTGAGCCAATAAACAAGACTCTCTCTTGTTTACGCTGCTTTCTATAGTCACTAGGGTAATTGTCAAGGGGGAAGTTATTCTTTAAATGTTAGGAATCTTTTCAACAAAAGAAATTAGTTTCCTAATTAAGAATAACTCATAGAAACATTTTTAGCATCATTCCTGTTGTGCTCTTTATCTGGTCATGTGTTGGTATAGATTGGGGCAAACCTTCATGAGCTAGGGACTCCAGTTCTAAACCTGAGTACACATTTCTTTCTTCTTTTTTTCTTTCCTTCCTTTTTTTTTCAGTTTTTTAAAAAAATTTTATGAGAGAGAGAAGGGGGGAGTTTTTTTTTGGAAAGAGAGACTTGACAGGATCTTGTCAAACTGTGATTTCTTTTCCCCAGCCCTCCAGCCTGTCAGACTTCTTTTCACAGACCCTGAGATCCAAACCTGCAATAAGCCATGTGGCTTCCAGCACTGTAATTTAGTTTGCTACTGACAGTATCACCACCAGGCTGGGCTTCTCTCTCTCTCTCTCTCTCTCTCTCTCTCTCTCTCTCTAGTTGTTTTCTTTCTTTCTCTTTTGTCTTACTTTTCTTTCTTCTTTGATTCTTTCTTCCTTCTCTTTCTCTTTCTTTTTCTTCTTTCTTTTAGAGTTGGATGATATTTTACTTATATTTGAGGTCTAAAATGCTTTAATTTAATTTATTTATTTCTACTTTTCCCCAACATTATCCATTTAAAGAAGATTTAAACTATTAATTTCCTACTTGATAAACTACCATGAAGTCAATATATCCATGTCATTATTACCAGGTTAGATATAATAGAAATTGATCTCACTGTCTCCAAATGATATCCTCTCATTTGTCCCTCAAAGCAACTAGTCATTCTATTAACTAGTAACTCTGTTAATAGATTTTGGCTTCTTTTGACTTTTGTGTAAATAAAAAGTAAAAGATTGGCTATTAAAAATAATACCGATATGAAAGATTTTGTACAGGGCACTTGGTAGACATAAACACTTTGGTTGGATATATAGCTAGATGTAGAATTGCTTCACCAAATATTTATGCTTTTCTGTGTAGAATTCTTGCCTATATTTCATTGGGTTTATTCTTACATTTTCTTATGCTGTCACATGTTGGGCTGTCACAAAAGTCACAACGCATTTTTGCACAGAAAAACAGAAAAAATATATAATGAATTTTCTGACAACCCAATATTATAATTTAAAACTTTAATTTTTGCTGCTTCTGAAATGTAGAAAATAATTCATTTTTGTTGATCTTGTATACAAACTCCCTTGTTAATTCTAACAGTTTATCACACTTTTGGGGGGAGGCTATTACATGGATGAAACTGGATTTGATTGGATTATATCTTGTTTTGTCCTCTTTCTCTCTCTCCTTTAATTGCCAGAGGGTACAGGCACTTATCCAAAGGGAGAGAGAGAGAGAAAGTACCCCTAATGGGGAGTGGTCATATCACAATCTCTTCTACATTTCTATATCCTGTTGGGATTTTAGGCATGCACACCCACATGCACCCAGTATGTTTTTCAAGCTGAAGGAGCTGAGATTCACCACAGTTGGCCATGTGGGACCCAGCTCCCTTAACCACTAAGCTATGGACCATCCTTATCCACCTTCTTTAAATAAGAAAGTTTGGAAAACAATAAGATTCCCTACTCTTCCATGAGGCAATTTGACCTTGATCCGTTTCCAAGGACATTTTCAAGACCTATAAAAGACTATACTATACTAGTAGTGCTGTTACAGAATGTGGGCTTGGGGAATGACAGCCCTCTTTCTCATAGACATACTATTGATAGAATATCCTATGGGTCTCTTTCTGTCACATACACCATGGGGGGAATTTCAAGGTGAAATTTGTAGCCAAACTATAAATTTTGTTATATGCTTTGAACAAAGACAACAAAGTCCAGACCAATTTTTTGAAATTAATACTTGGCCATTTTTACAATGTTACATTGTTCCAGTGAACATGAGTGTGGAATTGTCTTTAATTTTCAACTCAAGTTCTATGAAGAGGATTTACTGAAAGATATGTATGCATCAGTTAAACTTATTGAAAAGAACCTGGAGGGAAGGAGATTGGTAGAACACAAATAACAAGCTGGTGGTAGATTATCACCTGATCAACAAACTCATTAAAACATCAGAGCCCATTCAACTTCCTCTTGTTTTATTTTTTCTTGAGCTTTTCAAAGTTAAAACAAGGTTTCCCATCAAACTTTCTTTCTATTCCACTAGGGTTTTTTTAATTTCATTTTCTTTTATTAAATCACATTCTTATTTGGCTTACAAAATGGATATTTCAACAGGTGAACATTTCTCCCTAGTATAGTTGATAAAACTACAAAACATCTTCAACAGATAATACCACATTTCTTTGTGCCATTAATCTTTGCCTCCCTATTTTTCTTCTAAATGTCTTTCCTCAGACCCTCCTATTTCACACACACTATATCTGGTATTTACATCTATATACTGTGCTTCTATATCCTTTAGTCAATTAATTTTAGTCATAGAGTGTGAACACTCAGTATATATTAAGTGGGGACATACAATGCCTCTCCTTCATAGCCTGGCTTGCTTCACTCAGCAGTAAATCTTACATATTCATCCACTTCCTGTCAAAAGCCAGGCTTTTTTATGGCTGAATAGTATTCCATTATTATATGTGCCACAGTTTTTCTATCCATTAATCTGTTCATGGGCATTTAGATTGTTTCCATGACTTAGCAATTGTAAATAGTGCCGCAATAAACATCAATGTGCAAGCACTTTTCCGATTAAGTATTCTGTCCTTTGGGAAGAATACTTAATCGGAAATTGGTTCAGCCCCTATGGAGAACAATTGGAGATTACTCAAAAATCTACAAATAGAACTTTCACTAGGTTTTGTATATAGCTTTCGGAAGAGATTAGAGAAAAAATGTTTGAAAATCTAATTAGACTTGTATTAATACAGTATTTTTCTTTTCTTTATTATTACTTTTTAATTTGTTGTAAGGTACATGCACTTGCCAGAGAGAAAGAGAGAGTAAGAAAACACCCCTTAGGGAGGGATGGCCACTCTGCCATCTATTTTCTTCCTCTCAGGATTTTGGGCACATATGTGCCCAATGTGTTTTTCAAGCCACTGGATCTGGGACTGGAACCATGCAGTTGGCCATGTGAGATCCAACCACCTTACCCACCATGCCACTGGTTGGCTTGGTATCTTTTTTTTTTTTTTAAATTGCCAGTGGGTGTATGCACTTGACAGAGGGGGAGAGAGAATGAGAAAGAGAGAGAGCAAGAGAAAGCACCCTTTAATTGAGCGTGGTCACACTGCAATCCCTTTTCCTCCATTTTTCCACCTCATCAGAATTTTGAGCATGCACGTACACATGCCCAGCACATTTTCCAAGCCACTGGGCTGAAATTTGAACTACAGTTAATCTTGTGGAATCTGACTCATTTAACAACTGTGTTTCAGGGCCAGCCCTGAGATGTAGTATTTTTTATTGTTTTTTTTTTTTTTTTGTAATATGGCAGAATCAAGCCAAATGAACACGTAAGACGTGTCACAATTTGGCCTATAAGCTGTGGCACAAAGGTAATATAAGGGGCCTACAAAGCTGGAAGCCATATGGGCAAACAGCAGTTTGGATACTTGGGTCATCTTGAAGACACTCCAGGAGCATATATGTGGGATCCTAAGATCTTGAGGAGCTGTAAGGCTAAAGAAAGGATATCACAGCATGAAAAGACTCACTTGGGGGTATCTCTTTCTCTCATGCATGTATGTGTTCTCTATCATGAAAAAGTAATAATTATCACAATGTGGGCACTACAGAGAGATTCCACAGATTAGGAAAAAAAGAGAGATTAGATTGCTCCATAACTTAAACTGTACTCAAAACAAAACACAAACAAAAAGAAAAAACAGAGTGAAATTATGAAAAGTCACCTTAAAGAAAATAAATGGCTCCAAGGCTAGCAGATTCTGGCATTTGATAGAAAGTGGATGAATATGGAAGATTTACTGCTGAGTGCAGCAAACCAGGCTATGAAAGAGAGACATTATATGTTTCCACTTAATACATACTGATTGTCCACACTCTATGGTGGAAACTGAAAGATTAGATGATAGAGTAGCACAGACAATGGTTATGGATTTGGGAGATAGTGTGGAAAGAGGGGGAGAGAAGGGGGAAGTGTGAGAAAAGGAATCAAGGAGAAAAAGAGAGGCAAGACTTTTATGGGACATAGAAATGGATGATTATCTGTTGATGATAACATGTTTAATATCTTCAACTGGACTGGTGTGAAGTATATTAATGTTGGGTAAATTAACTTTTCAAGCTGTAGTGATGTATAGTGATTGAATATATAAAAGAAATTAAAATAAAAAATGAAAAATAATTTATTTCATTAAAAAAAGAAATGAATAGACATTGCTTAAAAAGGAGTGGAGTACTCAAACGTGAAAGGAAAGATAAAGGGAGGCATACAAGCTAGTGCTGACATTGATCAAACACTCTACAAGAAGAACATTGTACCTTGAATCTTCCATTTCCTTCATCTAGAGCATGTAATTGACATGAATACATGTGATACCATTAAATATTCGTCTTTGTAATTTCCTTCTTCTGATTGCCCAGAAGGCTTGCTCAGAAAATAACCTGGTTCTTATTTGTCTTGCTTTTGCATATGCATGCTTAGAGAAACAACTGGCCAAAGAGACTTGTGGAGCCAGCAGGTGGCATGGTGGTTAACGCACTGAACTCCTGAATGGTCAACCACAGTTTAAGTCCAGGATCTGGTGGCTTACTTTCCCTCTCTCCCTCTCTTGCTCATCTCTCTTGGATGAGTGCACGTGCACTACAACAAATTAAAAATAA